TGGCCAAACTCATTCTCGGCTCAAACACTAAAAAAAGCAAACAGAGAAAACTGCTTATTCTTTTGAAGGAAGCCATAGCAATTGATAAAATGTTGCAAGATATAGTGTAGCTTGAATTATAGTTGGATTGTTGGCTTGAGGAGATTGGAGGAAGTTCGGATAGTTATTTATAGGTTCGAGCCCGCGTGTGTTTTGTAAGGTTTAAGCAATTAATTTATACTTTTACTGAAAACAAGGAAACAATTCTAGCAGAATTTCATGTCATATATATGGAAATGAGAATTACATTATGCATGCATGCATGTGGCATTGTCGAGTAAGAATCAAATAGGTGTGAATAAATAAATTAGTTGTGGATCGATTATGGATCATTTGATGATCGATTTTTCCGAAGTGAAATGATGGGAGGATGCGGGTATACGTGAGAAATTTCTAGATCTAACAGAAGTTCTTAAAATGTGCCTGAAGAAAAGATTGAGTTGTGCATAAAAATGGAGACTGTATAATATAGTCGCTCGACAATATTAATTCACTTCACCCAACATATAGCTAAGCAAGGTGAAGACAATAAAAATCATTTATTTTTTCTTTCTATATATATATATATATGGAGTATTACTGAATATCAACATTTCAATTTAGTGTAATTATAAATTTATTTAATTTAGTAACGCACATGCATGCACGCATAATATATGCATCGTGTTGGTCCAAAACTAGTAGATCAGCTAGCGCAACATGGTGAGAATTCAGTTTCAGCAAATGCGTAAACTTCAAATCTCATATATATGTCGTCACAGGCTAGTTCAATTTCCTCATACAAATTAAATGAATTGTCTGAGAAAGCAACAATTATATAGTTATATGTTTATCCAATTACCTATCTTTTATTTTCATCATCAGAATTATAGTAAATTAATTATAGGGCCAAAACTACTACAAGAAGAGCTTGAAGCGTGTATTAAAATACTTCAACTTCATGCCATGCCTTGTTGCTTCGCCGTTAGGCATATGATTTGTCTATTATTTCCGTACACGGAAGAAACAAACGGCCCGGCAATATGTCAGTATGACTCCAACTCTGTAACTGAATAGATTCAAGTTGTATCACATGATCTAAGAAACACTAAAGTTTAAGTTACCTATGGCGAGAGTAATGAGCAAGTTCTGTTGGGTAATAACCTATTTCATCAATAACGTACGTATCAACATTCAACAATCTATATCTATATCTCTATATATATAATTGCAAGCAAAACAATTAATAAAAATGTTTTGGTTTCCCTCCAAAAAACATTACAACTTATATTATTATTATTATTATTATTATTATTATTATTATTATTATTATTATTATTATTTATTTATTTATTTATTTATTTTTATCTATATATATATAGTGAGAGAGGGACAAAAAATAAATGACATTTTTTCTCACTTTTTAATGACATTTTTCCATTCTTTTCATTTAATAATGAAAAAAGACTGCTACTTTTGTATTAATTAATTGTAATAATATTTTTTAACATATTTATCACATAATATTACTACTTATATTAACCACGTATCAATTCAAAATAAAAATTTATGCAAATTATACACTTATAAAAAATATTTATAGCAAAATTTTTTCTTTATTTTTTTTAATTTTAAAATTATTATCATCATTTTATTTTTATCTCATTAGGCAACGTAGTGCTAATTGGTTAATGGAATAATTTAATACTGCATAAATAATTATAATTTCAATATGACAATAATAATAATTTTTTTTTTCAACCAACTACTTAGGACGTGATTGTATATAATTTCAACAGTAAATATCTCACTCAAAACTTAAATTTAACTCAACCTTAACTCAACTCCACTATCTCCAATATTATCAATATAATTAAATAACTATCAACCAATCATTATTACACATCCCATCAACTTTAATTCACTCACATAATTTTAACTAACTATCACTTCCAATCATTTTCTCCTACTTTTACATCAAATCAACTTTAATTATTTTAATTTAAATATTATTTTAATATAACCACTAAGAGCATCCACATTGGTTAATTTTTTTTCCATTCATTCAATTAAAAAGTTACACTCTCTCACATCCACATGATCTCCACATCATATTTCCACTAATTATCTCTCCATTTAAACACACACCCACATCCCTACACATTCATTTAAATACATAAATGGGACCTACTTTCCACTCATATATAAAACAAATTGATTAAATAATTATAAATGAAAACAAGAAAATAAAAATAAAAAATAATAAAAGTACTAAAAGTGCCGTTCATTACATTGAATGGACAAGGGACCCCACCTTTAAATGAATGACTTGCATCCTTGTTGAACGACCTTGGTCGCGTTTAAACACTAAAATAATGATCCGATGCGGGTGCTCTAACAACTAACCATACTACTTTTTTTAAAACTTAACTATAGTTAAAAAAAAACTAGTTTTTTACTAGTTGAATTCATATCCAATCACCCCCTTAGTTTGGATCCACTGACTTTGTAATTAAGTACATTATTTATTTTATTTTACTTACTATAATATTTTATTTATATATGTGCAAGTGCACAAGCTCGATTACTAGTTTTAAAGAAAATTTACAACTAGTCACTTTTGAGTTTTGAGCATATATAATACTACTAGAAGAAAATAATGAAATTTCAACGGGAATATATTACAATTCCAATAGATATTTCAATGCTATTATTTCCGTTGGAATTTTTCATTGGATTCCTATTTGTAGTTTTTTTGGGTAAGTAGTAATCGAGTTACCCGGACTCGGGTCGTTTTCAAAAGAAGGCTATTCGGAATTTCGTTTACTACCTAGTCGTCAAAGTCACATAACAAAAAATTAAGGTCCTAAACATGCTACTCGCTTGATTAGGGATGATTGCACGAAATTAAACTAAGAATCTAAGAGCAAATGACGAATTATGCCAGAATCGAAAGAACGATCAAAACTTTGGTTACACGGAGTCTCCATAACTCAAGAAAATAAAAGAAAACAAGAGAAAACACGCGAGCATAGTGATCCTAGGTAATCTAACACGAGCTTTCTACACTAAATTATCACGCTTTGAACAAAGTCGAGACCTTTATACTAGATAAGCACGTATAGATTCCTAACACACGTAAGCAAGCAATAAACATAAAGCAAAAACCTAGAAACGAGCATACACACAATTCGGCAAAAAAACTCGAAGTAGAAGGGCCTAAGTTAGGTACCTACTCTGCTATCGCATGCTTGAACAAAAATAGTGAATAAAACTCGAAACTTGGATAAAAATAAGCTTCTCAGAATTTCGCCGGAAAAATCGAGTCATGGACCTCCAAACCAAAGCGTAAAAATAACAGAGAGAAAATAGAGAGGATTTTCCAACTTAAAAGTTGGGAAATGAGGGGAGATATCCAAAAATACAAAACACAATATCTAGTTATAGCTACACCACAAATACACACTAAAAACACACACATTTACTAAAATTATGCATTTCGCGGGTCTCGAAACCGGTTTCGCAGAGAGTATGGGCATGGAGTAGTGCAGCTTGGCTCATTCGCGGGTCGCCAAAATGGGATTGCAGCGAGTTCGGGCCTTGGGTGTTGTGGTGCGGAGTTTTGCGGGTCGCGAAATTGTTTCCGCAGCGAGTGTCGGCCTTGGAGTAGTGCATCACGCGCTTTCGCGGGTCGCCGAAGTAAGTTCGCTGCGAGTTCAGGCAAGGGATCCTCGGGTGTGCTGTCTCGCGGGTCTCCATTCATAGCTCGCAGCGAGTGTCGGGTGTAGGGTGTCGCGCGCTCGCCGCTTCGCCAGTCGCGAATCACGTCTCGCAGCGAGTGGCACTGGCCGCCTTGGGTCGACGATTGGCGCGTCGCGAACTGAGACTCGCTGCGAGTGCTGGGACGCTTGGCATGGATTTCGCTGACAATCTCGTGTGCCTACTCGCAGCCCGCGAAACCATCTCGCCGCAAGTGCCGGGGCTTTCTTATGCGCGCGCGTTCTTCGCGTGGCGCGAGTTCTTTTTCGCAGCGAGTGTGGGTGCGGTTGGTTGTCTTCGGGTTGGGCTCGCGGCTCAATCAAGTGGCTCAGGTGGTTCGGTGCTGGTTCGAGTGGCTCGAAAATGGCTCCAAAGCGGCACGGACGGCTCATCTTCCCGAAATTTGCAAATTGGACCTAAACAACAGACCAAAAGAGACGCGAAAATACGGCAAAATACGAAGATACATAACAAAAACAAAAATACATAAAACACGATAAAACGGACCAGTTGATACTAAAACGAACCTAAAAATGACTCAACTAAAGCACATAAAACACAATAAAATAAACACAAAAATATTGCAAACATCTTCCGCACACTTAACTCTTTGCTTGTACTAAAGCAAACAAAACAACAAGTAGCTCGAAAAGAAAAAATTGAAAAGTCCAAAATTAATGAGCATGCGAAATGAAACTCTCATCTTCATCCGGTTATCCATAAAATTAAACTCCAATCCGAAAACACGTTTTCCACATAATGAATCCATACAAAACAAAAACTCGTCCCAAGTTATTTTACACATGATTACTCGATTCAAACTCCCTTTTTCTACATACACATGCAAAAAGCTATAACTGGTCTATTACACAAATAAAGATCATAAGCATGAAATCAATAAGCCAACTCTCCATTTTTCTTCTTTATTTTTTTATTTATATATTTTTTTAATGAGCTACTTTTTTCAAATGAGAGTCATTAGTACGATTATTACCTAGGTTTATCCTCGGGGTTTGTCCTCGAGTCTCCTAGGCCAGTTTCCCGTAATCATTAACCCGGTTTATAGAACGGAGACTAACCGGGCCAAGCGGAGCCTAATTCTTTCAACTCTCACGAACTCATTTTCGTAAGCTTCTTTTTCCAAACGAGATTTCCGGACAATGATTATCTAGGTTTGAACCTCGAGGGGTTTCCTCGAGTTTCCTAGACCGGTTTTCCGGGCCCATCATCCAATTCCACGAAGTGGCTTAAGAGGAGCCTAATTTTTACTTCCTCGTAAGATACTCTACATGTGTTAATGCTCCGTATGAATCCGAGTTCATGTACTTGAAACAAACAATAAAAAACAAAGGTCACACGAATTGCAAATTCTCATTTCAAACTTCACCAAACACAACATTAGCTTGCAGAAAAATGCCACAAGTGAAGTTACAAGAACAGCCATCACATGACAACCGTTTTCTACTACTTATAAAAACGTATATAACTCCATCAGGTCGATAATACTGCTATCATCTCTATATTTTGATAAAGAAGGACGATAATTTCATTTTCAGAACAGAAGTTATTCATCATGGTCTGCTCATCATGTGTTGCAGAGCAGTCATCTGCCTTGACTGCTGGCTGATAATCGAGCTCGTTGATGGACTCTCAGACAGAACAATCTCGTAGCCATCTGAATAAGATTCCATTCCCTCATCCAGAATCTGCCACACCAATCCTCCACCGATCCCTCCTCCTCGTGCGAAACTATAAAGGCTTCCATAAACCGCGTTCATGTACGAGTCTCTTGATGCCACGCTGAATCCTTTATCTTTGCTCGACTTTCCGAATTCGGTGAAAACCATCGGTTTTCTTAAAAGGGTCTTTGAGTCTCGCCAGTGACTCGTCATCCACCGTCTCATGAAAACCATCTGCGCATCATCGTCTTCTGACGGTAACCTGTGGTAGTAAAATTAGTCTTAGTACAGTTTAATTCCACTAAATCTAATACAGTAAATCTAATGTAGGTACATTTACCAGGCATCAGGGTATGCATGGATTGTTGTGAAATCAATCTCTTGTATAAGATTGGTGGTGATAAAATCTGTGCCGACTTGATAGCCTGGATTGTACTGCTTTCTGTCCGGGAAAGAGTCTCCGTAGAAACCTTCCATGCCTACTTCTAGAAGATGTTTACTGTCGATGGATTTGACGTGTGAGGCCATTTCTTGTACCCAAGCCTGCCATATAAAGTTTAAGTTATTATTTAACGTTGTAAAAGGAAAAGGAGATATGAAATTAATCATGAAAATTAACTAAAAAATTGTCTTCTTTTTCTTGGCTCACATTAACAGTGTCCCCTGAGTAGTCCGCCTGGCAACGAGGCTCGTTTATGAGTTCCCAAGCCATGATGGTGGGATCATCTTTATAAGCAACTCCAGTAATCGTGTTGATTCTGTTAAGTACTCTCTGTTCAAGGTAAAGACGACCAAATATCTTCATTAGAAGACTTTGGAAAAACTTATCGACATCGTTTGGTTTGATCTATATATAAGTTATTACCTCAACATGTTTTTTGTAGTAATCCTTCACAACCTCGTTGGTATAGAAATCGTCATCACTGCTCGTTTGGGCTCCAGCACTTTTCGCCCAACTCACGTATTGAGCCCTCCCTCCAAAATCTTGGTAATTGTTGCTCAAACTTAAAATAAGACGAATCTTGTTCTTAGCAGCTTCGGAGACCACAAAATCAAGTGCCTGCAAGAACCCCCGATTATTAGATTGTTCAAATTGCAACATTAAAATTGATTTTGTATGTATATATATAGACGCCGGGTGATATCTGAAGAGCTTGGTCTCCTCCATCACTAAACGCCCATGTTCGGCACACAGTTAAACCGGCAGCTGAAGCCTCTCGAAATACATTACACACTTTGTCCCTTTGGTTCGGTTGTGATGCAACGTGCATCATCCAATAAGCATTGAAGCCGTTGAAAATAAATGAGGAATCATCCAAAACAAATTGCGTACCCTTCGTCTGAACAAATCCTGAATCGGCCAAACTCATTCTCGGCTCAAACACTACTAGAAAGAGCAAACAGAGCAAACTCATTCTTTTGAAGGAAGCCATAGCAATTGATAAATGTTGCTAGCTTGAATTATAGTTGGATTGTTGGGTTGAGGAAATTGGAGGAAGTTCGGAGAGTTATTTATAGGTTCGAGCGCGTGTGTTTTGTAAGGTTTAAGGCGATTAATTAATACTTTTACTGAAGACATGGAAACAATTCTAGCAGAATTTCATGTCATATATATATATCATATATGGAAATGAGAATCACATTCTGCATGCATGCGTGTGGCATTGTTTGTCGAGTAAGAATGCAATAGGTGGGAATAAATAAATTAGTTGTGGATCGATTATGGATCATTTGATGATCGATTTTTCGAAGGGAAATGATGGGAGGATGCGGGTATATGTGAGAAATTTCTGGATCTAACAGAAGTTCTTAAAATGTGCCTGAAGAAAAGATTGAGTTGTGCATAAAAATGGAGACTGTATTATATATGACTGGGTGCATATGTGTAGTTAGTTGCTCGACAATATTAATTCACTTCAACCAACGTATAGAGCTAAGCAAGGTGAAAACAAATTAATAAAAATCGTTTTTTTTTTCTTTTTCTTTTTACATATGGAGTATTAATTATTGAATATAATTAGATCAACATTACAATTTAGTGTAATTATAAATTTATTTCTATTTAGTGATGCACATGCATGCATAATATATGCATATGCATGGTGTTGATCCGAAGCTAGTAGAAAAATGGTGAGAATTAATTGCGTAAATTTCAAGTCTCATATATATGTTGTATTTTAATATCCTCATACAAATTAAAAGAATTGCAACTTTTATCCAATTACCTATCTTTTATTTTTATCATCAGAAGTATAGTAAATTAATTATAGGGCCAAAACTACAACAAGACGAGCTTGATTAATCGTGTATTAGACAAATACTGCAATTTCATGCAATGCCTTGTTGTTTCGCCGTTAGGCATATGATTTGTCTATTATTTCCGTACACGGAAGAAACAAACGGCCTGGCAATATGATCAGTATGACTCCAACTCTATAACCGAATAGATTCAATTTGTATCACATTAACTAAGAAGACTAAAGTTTAAGTTACCTATATATGACAAGGAATGAGCAAGTTCTGTTGGGTAATACGTATAATTCATCAATAACGAACGTATCAACAATTTTAAAGAATATGGAATCAGTGAAAATTGCATTTTATAACTGATTCCCTCGTAATGAAGTTTTACACGACGGATATTAATTTAATTAATGAACATAATCTACATATCTATATATAATTGCTGGCAACATATTTAATAAAACCCTTTAAGTTTTCCCTCAATTTTCAATTACTATTGCATTAATTAAATATTTATATTTTTTTTATTTATTTTATTATATAACAACTACTACTATCAAATCATAAAGTCACTAACAAATCATAAAGTCACATTAAATGATATATCTATTTTTTTTAAAACTATTTGTATAAAATTATTATTATTATTATTATTTAATTCATTAAGAATAGTAATAAGTTCAATATCTATTCAATTGTACTTAGTCAACAAAGATTGTCAATTATATTATTGCAAGCAATTTAAATATTAATATGTAAGTTAATAGTTTATATTTATATGTTCATATTTTACCAATAATAAAATTTATAAAATGTGATATGTTCATTATCTGATATATGATTTTAAATATTACATACACACACATCTAAAACGAAAAACACACTACAAAAAAATTGTTATATTTCAACGAAAAATCCTATGGTAATATATTCTAATAGAAATTCCAAAAGATATTCTAATGGTATAACTTTTGTTGGAATGATTCAAACGGAAATTCTAACGAAAATATTTCGTTGGAATGTGTTTTTCATTGGAATTTTAGATAGAATTTGATGATTCCAGCGACTATATTTTCAATGGCTTTTTACCGTAAAAATTTTCGTTAAAATATGCAGTTTTCATTGGAATTTTTATTTCTAGCCACGTTGGAAAATCTACCGTTGGAATCGTCCAAATCCAATGGAAAACTCATTCCAACGAAATATTTTTGTTGAAATTTTCGTTGGAATCCATTAAAAAATTCCAACAGAAATAATAGCATTGAAAAATATTCAATAGAATTAACGTTGGAATTCTATTTGAATATATTTCCGTTGCTCTCCTTTTCCTTTCAAGAAACCCGGGATTTTGGGCATATATACTATGAGTAGCATCATATTATGTGGATAATGTTATACAGGCATGCAATTGGGCACTAATAACTGTTTTGATTGTAAGATACGAAACCAACATGTACGTAGGTGAACATTGCTTAATGAAAAATACAATTAAATTCGTGGACGGCAGTGCAAGAAAAATTGGGAATAATTGGAATAAAGTTTCTTATTGTAACCCACGAATACGTTGACGTTAATTAGCCAGCAGCTTCCAATGCAATTTTTATTATTAAATTTGTATATTATGTAACGTTTGTAACTGCCATTAAATAGTTGAAATTAATGTTATTATAATTTTACGCCTTTAATTGACACTAATACTAATCCATCAGTACATGAATTAAACTGATTATCACAGAGTCATCACCCAAGGGATAAATTCGATGCTGCATGTGGGGGCAGTGCCCTATATGCCTTTTCACCTTTGATTTCACACACACCCACATAAGTGTGTGTGTGTGTGAGAGTGTATGCAAATCAAAGGTGAAAGGCATGTAGGGGCACTACCCCACATTCCCACCCAGGGTCTATTCGAGTTGATTCTTAAAAGAAAAAGGTACTAAATAAAGGGGAAAAAGCATATGGGGGCACTACCCCCACATTCCCACCCAGGGTAGTCCATATTCGAGTTGATTCTTAAAAGAAAAAGGTACTAAATAATTTACACCAAATAATGTGATTAAAATACTGGGCTAGTCCTTTCTGTTTTTCGTTTCTTTCAAGCAAAAAAACTGGAATTAAAGTACACAAAAGCGTAATGCTGCAGATTACTTTCCTAATTTCCTAAGAAGATATTTTTACAAATTAAACAACTTACTTTGCATGGTGTGATCTTCAACTTAATCCAACTTTATGTAAGATGCATGATATAGCACATAAGAATAACTCAGTAAAAGTATTATTAGCTCGGCCCAGTAAAATATTGGTAGCTCGGCCCAACATAAGCACTAGTGGCTCGACCCACTATTAGTAGCTCGGCCCAACATAAGCATTAATTAGTGGCTCGGCCTAGTAAGCGTACTAGTTGCTTGGCCCAACATCAACGTTAATAGCTCGACACGGCAAGACATGTACTCGACCGATCAATTTTGAGAAGTTAGGTCAATCAATCTAACTAAACACACCGACCGGTAGAAAATAAAAATAAAAAAATAAAAAATAAAAAATCATTGATTATTTGATTATTGCATATGAACTATATCTCACTGAAAGGTGGTGAGAACCAAGTAACAGGGATGGAGCAAGACATAGTACACGGGATGAATTTGAGAAGTAATTCCCAAGTGATAGTACCTGTGACTTCTGGATACCCAACGCGACATCAAGCAATCTAAATTGTTGAGAACCTAACCAAATCAAACCCAACTGAGGATGCAGTTGACTTACTTGATCTTGGGGATAACATGCAGATGGAGCCACCGGATAACAACATGCCAGACCAATTGGAAGAAGACCGAGCAGGCGATGGTGATCACATGAATGAAGATGGGAACTTGATGTCTCAGGTTCCTAGTTCTCTATGACGTGTATCAATCTCTCCTCTCTATTGTTTATAATGAATATAATAGCTTGGAATGTTCAAGGTGCGGCTTTAGGGAAATTTTTCTGCGCCTTCTTTAATCTCAAAAATCACTATTGTCCGGATGTTTTTGCTATTTTTGAGCCTCGAATCAGCCGTGTGAATGCTGATAAATTGATTCGCAAGAGTGGTTTTGACTACTCTTTCCGAGTAGAAGCTACTGGTTTTTCGAGAGGTATATGGATTTTATGAAAAGAAAAAACGCATGTTGAAGTGTTAATGTATCACCGTCAATACGTCCACACTCGAGTAGTGCAGGATGGCGTGGAAGTTTTTGTAACATTTGTGTATGCTAGCCCAAATCCCACAACTCGGCATTCATTATGGCCAGAACTACGACAATTAGCTACGAGAATTAATGTTCCATGGCTTATCGGAGGGGACTTCAATTGCATTCTCCGACAAGCTGAAAGAAGAGGTGGCGCTATTAGTCGTAATAATATTAGTGCTGACTTTTCTGATTGGCTTTTTGATTGTGAACTCCACGAGGTCCGTACTGATGGTCTTTTATTCACATGGGAAAGAGGAGGATTGACAGAAGCTAGATTGCTTTATAGCAAATTCGGCTTGGATGACCAAATTCCCGCTGGGACTCGTCCAACACCTTCCTCGCACTAGCTCAGATCATTTTCCATTACTTGTACGATGTGTGGAACATCAAGCGACATCACAAAGAAGTAAACCATTTAAATTCCTCGCTTCATGGCATTTGCATAAAGGGTTTCCTAACTTAGTAAGACAATCATGGGCTGGAAGAGATTACCTCGAAGCTACCCATTCTTTCCAGCAAAAAGCGGGGGAGTGGAATCATGTTTTTGAAAATATTTTTAGCCGTAAGAAAGGCTGCTAAGGAGAATTGCAGGAGCACAACGAGAGTTACAAAAATACTCTACTCAACGCCTCATCAATCTGGAAGCTTCCCTATGTCAAGAGTTGGAGGAGGTATTTTTGCAAGAGGAACTGCTAATGCTTCAGAAGTCTCAGAGGGATTGGACACTTTTCAGAGATAGAAATACTACTTACTATCATCGCCAAGTGAAATATCGTCGTAACTGCAATAAAATTTTATTTCTTAATGACTTCGATAGGGTTAAGGTTGTTGACCAGGATAAAATGAAGACTATAGCAGTGGACTATTTTCGAGGGATTTATACAGAGGGTATGCCTGGCAGGACAACGATACTTCCAAACTTGTTCCCCCAACCCACTGCCCGATTTTTTGATCCTATGATATGGGAAGTCAGGGACCCAGAAATCTTCTTCGCATTGAATGAGATGAAGCCTCTCAAAGCCCCAAGGCCAGATGGTCTCCATGCTATGTTTTTTCAACAACAATGGGAAAGTGTCGGGCCGCTAGTCTGCAAATTAATCCACGGAGTATTTCGGGACGGAGTAGTGCCGACAGAGTTGAATAAAATTCTACTCGTAATCATTTCGAAGGTGGAGAATCTGGAATCCATTTAAGCAATTCCGGCCAATTAGCATGCTCATTGTGGTCTACAAACTTATCAGTAAGGTGCTAGTGAATAGAATGAAGTCAGTTCTCCCTTTATTAATAGGCCATGCGCAATCGAGCTTCGTTCTGGGGCGTCAAATAACAGATAATATAGTGGTTGCCCAAGAACTTATTCATTCTATGCGTTCCAAAACCGGCCGAAGGGGATTTATGGTGATAAAAGTGGACTTGAAAAAAGCCTACGATTTTTTGAGATGGGAATTTGTTGAAGATTCGTTACGAACAGCAGGATTCCTGGCTAATATGGTGCGCACTATTATGGCATGTGTTACTACAGCTTCTATGCAACTCCAATTTAATGGGGAGCTTAGTAATGCATTTTTACCTTCTCGGGGTGTGCGTCAGGGTGACCCCATGTCGCCATACTTGTTTGTCATTTGTATCGAACGGTTAGCTCATTTGATTCAATCACGAGTTATCGATGGCTCGTGGAGGCCGGTTCACGTGGGTAATGGGGAGGTCCAAATTCCTTATGTAATGTTCACTGATGATTTGTTATTATTTCTTGAAGCTCCAGAAGATCAAGTGCACTTAGTCAAGCAGGTACTAGAGGAATTTGGTGCTAGGTCTGGCTTAAAAGTGAGTCAGTCCAAGACAAATGTGTTCTTCTCGAAAAACGTTACCCAAGAGCGTCAACAGCATTTGGCGAGTTTAATGAACTTCACTGTCGTGGAATGTCTAGGAAAGTATCTTTGCGTCCCCCTCATACATGGTCGCGTTACTAACCAGACGTATGAAAATATTGTTGCACAAGCAAAGAGCAGATTGGCAGGATGGAAGGCCAGGTCCTTGTCCCTGGCCGGCAGATGCGTCTTGGTTCAATCAGTTGTGAGTACATTGCCATATTATACCATGCAGACTACATGGCTTCCCACGTCAGTCTGTGAGAGTCTGGAGAAACGGTGTCGAACGTTCTTATGGGGAGGTAGCAACACTCAACAAAAAATACCTCTAGTTTCATGGGTGAACGTATGTCAAAGCAAAGAGTCAGGAGGATTGGGTTTGAAGCAACAAAAAGAGATGAATATTGCCCTTTTTAATGAAATTGGGCTGGAATTTTCTGAAGAAGCCGAATACCTTGTGGGTTCGACTAATTACAGCAAAATACAAACTCAATCCAACAACAATGGGGACAAATTTTATATTTCCCAAAGGATCCAGGGTGTTAAATGCAATTGGTAGAGGGTGGTCACCGTTAATGAGAGGGATTCGATGGTCTCTCGGTAATGGCAATAAAGCTAGGTTTTGGCGTGGCAAATGGTGCCATCTTCCGACGCCGCTGTACTTACTTGCGATGGGGACAATCCCGGAGGATCAATGGGAGCTGCCGGTGGCGAGATTTGTGACCGATGATGGCGCATGGAATTGGACCTCTTCCGCGCGCCTGTTGCCGGCGGGGGGTGCTGCTAAGAATTGCTTCGATTTTACCTCCAAATGTGTATGTTGCATTCACACTTGAACTCAATTAATTACGGTACCGTCCCTAGTGTGAACGGTTTAAACATACAGCATTGCGTTCACACTAGGGATGGCAGGACGAGGTTAGAACATACAACGTTGCGTTCACACTTGAATTGATTAATTACGGTACCGTCCCTAGTGTGAACGCACCGTTGTATGTTCAGTACCTCGTCCTGCTTGCGTTCACACTAGAATTGATTAATTACGGTACCGTACCTCCAATTCAAGCAGGACGAGGTACTGAACATACAGCGTTGCGTTCACACTAGGGAACGCAACGTTGTACCTCCAATTCAAGCAGGACGAGGTACTGAACATACAGCGTTGCGTTCACACTAACGCAACGCTGTATGTTCAGTACCTCGTCCACTAGGGACGGTACCGTAATTAATCAATTCAAGTGTAAACGTAAGATAGTGTGAACGCAACGCTGTATGTTCAGTACCTCGTCAAGCACATACAGCGTTGCGTTCACACTAGGGACGGTACCGTAATTAACTGAACATACAGCGTTGCGTTCACACTTGACCCTCACTGGAGAAGATTCTATCTATTGGGGATTCTCGGAAAATGGTTGTTTCACAACGAAATCAGCTTATGCCTCGCTTTTCCCACCCGCGTCGAGGACTAACCGAGCTTTATGGAATTCAATTTGGCACTGGGTTGGCCCTCAACGCGTACGACAATTTCTATGGCTTGCAGGGCAGAACAGACTATTGACTAATATGGAGAGATATCGTCATCATTTAGCGAGCTCTCCATGTTGCATGTTGTGCGGCCGGGGAGCAGAATCCGTCCTCCACGCCTTGCGTGAATTTAGGGGTGAGCATGGGTCGGTACAGTCGGAGATTGATAAATCTCCAGAACCGTACCGAAGTTCGGAGATCACTAAAATTCAATCTCCAGAACCGCACCAAAAATCGGTTCGGTTCGGTTCGGATATTTTGATTTTTCGGTTCGGTTCGGTCGGTTTCGGGACTATCGGAACGGTTCGGTTCGGTTTGGTTCGGTTCGGATATTCAGAGATTTCTTTTCATTTTGTAAAATTTTTTTGAATGCCCACCTAGTTATATTTTATTTTTTATATGTTTTTTTTTTCTTAAAATCCAACAATCATCAATACTTCATCATACTAAAGATTTTATTTTTAAATCAAATATAGAAGTAACCCTAAATTTTAGTTAAGACTAAATTCAACTAACATTGAAAATTTAAAATTCAAACAAAATATAATACAATTTAATATTAAAGTAATATTTATTTAACCTTCCATACCATGTTAGTTATAAGATAAACTAAGGCTAAATATTGATAATTTTAAGAGAAGCTTAAATATTTTTTTTTAATCTTTAATCTTTCTTTCCATTTTATTTTTATTTTTTTAAACAAGAGAAATTCAATTGTAGATCAAGTATTACTAAACATGAAATATAAGTGAATCTTAATTGTTATTACTATATTTTATTTGCATTTTAAAAATTCTCAAATTATATAGGATCAAAGTTGACATAAAATATATTAATAACACGCATCTATTTTTATAATTCGGCTCTTAATTTCGGTTCTTCAGTTCGGTACGGTACGGGACGGTTCGGTTCGATTCTCGGTATGGATATTTATAAAATCTCCAGAACTGTACCAATTATTTTTTCGGTTCGGTTCGGTTCGGAGAAAGTTAAACGGTCAACGGATAATTTTTAGTTCGGAGTGATTTCGGTTCAATTTTCGGAACGGTTCGGAATTCTCCGAGTCCCATGCTCAGCCCTATGCGTGATTGTGAAAAAGCAACACAGGTTTGGAAAAATTTATTAGCAGATCAATATCATGGCTCATTTTTCAATTTAAATTTTCATGAGTGGTTGATGCATAATTTACTCAACACGATACATGTAAATGTTGAGGGGTGGGAAACATTATTTGGTGTCACTGTTTGGAAAATATGGAGTGGCTCAAAAGAGGCATTATTTGCGGATAAAGAATTTGTAGTCCCACAGAAAGTTTGGAAAGTTGATAAAATAGTTAACAACATTGATGTGGCTATTTCGGCTGAGAGGATCTTGGGAGGAATGGGTGTAGGAAGACAAACCCGATGGATCGCTTGGCGTGCTCCACCAGCTGATGTGGTTAAAATTAATACGGATGGATCTTTCATTCAGGCTACAGGTATGGCATCGGCGGGAGGTCTCGTGCGTGAAGTTGGAGGCCATTGGCTTGGGGGATTCGTCATGAACATTGGGTATACTACTATTACAGGCGCTGAGCTATGGGGTTTATTCCAAGGACTCCGCCTAGCTTGGGATTTGGGCTATAGGAATGTTGTCGCGGATGTGAATAACCAAGGTGTAGTCAATATGGTTATGGGGTCCTTAGTTGAGAGTTGGGGGTGCATGGCGCTATAGTTCGGACTATTCAAGAGATGATGAATCGAGAATGGATAGTGCATATTGCACATTATTATCGGGAAGCAAATTTTGCTGCGGATTGCTTGGCGACGTTAGCTCAGTCATGTCCTAATGGTTGTCAGAGACTACTTGATCCACCAATGGAAGTCAAGCCGTGGTTAATGCACGACGTCTTTGGCGTTGCTTATCCACGGAATATAACTATCTATAGGTGTTAGGCTCCGGNAAGAACTATATCTCACTGAGAATTAATAATCTAATATAGATTCCTTCAATGGTGAGAAAATTTTTTCCCCATTGTTACAAGCACTTAACCTTATATTAACTAACAATAACCAACTATATCTCATTGTTCCTGCAATAATGAGAAACAACACAACAACAGCAGCAACAACAATAATAAATTAATAAAGAGCCATGAAAAAAGATGCATTAATTAACATCTTCACGGTGTCGATTTCCTGGCACGACCATCACTATTAGCCATGGTGAAAAGATGTGACAATGCAGTCATGGCGTGGGCCTGCCTTGACATGATCCCAGCCGTTGAGGGGCTTTGAGACAAAACAATCTGGTATCCATCATAGTATTCTTCCATGCCCTCTCCCATCAGCTGCCACACCAGGCTTCCGCTCATTGTACCTCCTGTCCTCGCGTATCGATATATATCTCTATACACGTTGCCCATGTACAAGTCTCTCTCGTTCACATTGAATCCGGGATCTTTGCACGTCTTTCCGAATTCAGAAATCACTAGCGGCTTTTTTAGTACGGTCTTTGCGTCTTCCCAATGGCTCGTCATCCATCTCTCCATGAATCCCATTTGCTCGTTCTCGCTTTTCCCGGACAACCTTAGTTCAATAATTGAAAATTAATCAAAATTTGGCTAATATAGGCATAACTAACTCTCAACCGCCAATCATAAACGAACCAAGCATCAGGGTACGCGTGTATTGTAGCGAAATCGATTCCTTTGACTAAATTGTTGCTGATGAAATCGGTTCCGACTTGGTAACCCGGGTTGACTTGTTTCCTTTGTGGCATCGTGTCACCGTAAAATCCTTCCATCCCGATTTCGAGCAAGTGCTTTCTATCAAGGGACTTGACAAAACTCGCCATTTCTTGAACCCAACCCTGAATCCACGGACAAAATTAATAAACACTAATTTATGAAAGAAAAAAAGGCCACAATTAATATTCAATCGAATTAACTAATTACGTTAAGAGTCCTCCCGGAGTAATCAGTCTCGCAACGGGGCTCGTTGATGAGCTCCCAAGCCATGATTGTGGGGTCATCCTTGTATGCAATCTTAGTAATGGTGTTCAATCTCGTAACCACTCTCTGCAAAAATAGTTATACTAATTCACTGAGTTGGGTAATTATTAATTTAAGTTTTCGTGCATGCATCAATTACGTAATGATAGTGAATAAGTGATATTTTAATCAATCACTAATTAATTACCCTGATATGGTTCTTGTAATAACCCTTGATGAGAGGGTGTGTGTAGAAATCGTCGTCACTGTTAATATGTGCTCCGGCCGCTCGGGCCCACTGCGCGTACTGTGGCCTTCCCCCGAAATCTTTGTAATTGTTTACGAAGCTCAGTATCAGACGTATACCGTACTTTCTAGCTTCCGCAACCACAAAATCGAGTCCCTGATTTTCGAGTAAATTTTAAGTATTAAAGACACGTGACTTGTTTATTACCAAAGAGAAAAGAAATAAAAAATATAAAGTCAAGGACAAAATAATGGAACCTGAAACACGCGCTCGTCGTATATCCCGGGCGATATCTGGAGGGCCCGATCCCCGCCATCACTGAAAGCCCAAGTCCGGCAGACAGTGAGCCCTGCTGCAGAGGCCTCACGTACAACTTCCGACACTTTGTACCTCTCGTTAGGATCGGTAGCAACATGCATCATCCAATAAGAGTTGAAGCCATTGAAAAGGAAAAGCGAGCCGTGGAGTACAAAGTGGGAGCCTTGTGTCTTGACGAAGGCCAGGTCACGTGGGAGTCTGGCTCCAAACGAGCCGTTATTCATAAGTAGAATTAGGAGAATTAGGAAAGAACATGTGGTGGTGGTGGTGGTGATAAATGAAGCCATATTATGTTAAGTGTAAATTGCTTTAAGGAGGAGATTATTAATTTGGGCTACTTAATTTGAAGGTGCTTTGCATGCCTATTTATAGAAAGTGACAATGGGAAACTGGAATGGTGTTGGGGGTGTTTTGGTCTTTTTCCGTATTTCGTTCTTTTTTTTTTTTATTTAGTTTTGTTGCTTATAGATGTGGGAAAGGATTATGATAAGTGTAAAGGGATATTAAAGAGAAAGTGTTAGGGTTTTTGATAGAAAACGAGGAGAAAGACGGGAAAAGGGGGATGGAATTCAGTTATAGTTAGTTGGGTGAAGGAGGTTAAAGAAATCATGATGACGAGGAAAATTGGGAGAGTTTCTTAATATAGAGTGCACGTAATTTGTTGCATGTGGTTAGTTTTGTGATTGTAAGGACGTTACATAGCAAGATGATCAAGAAACTTCTAGTGCCATGTGATAGGCCATTTTCTTTTTTTCATTTGTTATGAAAAATAAAAATTAGAACATAATAAATTAATAATGGGAGCTATCAATTGAGGAATTTTTTATTTATATAAAAATAAAAAAAATTAAGTAGACAAAAAAAAAAATAAAAAACAGGTTGACAAAAATAAAAAGCACGTATTTTAAGAATACGTTTTCCAAAAATAAATGTATTTATAGAATACATTTTTACTCATAAAACGTATTTACGGAATACGGTTTCTTAATAAAAAATTAATTAACGTAAATAACGTAATTAAGTTAATTAAAACAGGAAAAAACGTATTACCGAAATACGTTTTACGTTTATGATAGGTCGAAAAATGTGCCCATTTTATATATTTAGTAGTGTATTTTTATACGCTTAATTTATTCGCATAATTATATTTTTCGACTTATTTATTATTTAGATGGATTCATATATTTTGATTATTTTTATTATTATTTTCAGTGTTTTGGAGCATATTTCGTGGAGATGAGCCGTTGATGAGAGTACGAGGCAACCCATTAGCGAGTCACGCAACCCAAATTAAAACATGAAAAGTTTAATTAATTGCTGGGAGTTAATTAACACACGCAGCCAAGCATTTTTTTGGAGCCCATGACTTTGGTTGACTCACGTGAATGAATGGAGATAAGTTTTGACCAATCAATTTTGATTGGTTGAAAGTTCATTGCCTTGGATTTATTTGGGCAGGATAATTAACTTGGGGGAGAACAATTATTTTGGAGGATTTATTTTAACGAAACTCCTTCACACACGTAGCATATTGGCTGGGAATTATTTGCCACGGAAATAAAAGGCCGAAGACTCATAGCCGCAATAAAACACTTATTTCGAGAGTGAATATATATTTTACGAGACAACAGAGAGCAGAGAGAAACGCACGGATTGAAAAGAAAGAGTCGTCACACGCGGAGGGAAGCCGCACTCGCACACAAGGGGAGAATATTATTTTCTTCTCTTTTATCTTTTATTTATTTTTAATAGTCTGTTAGTTTAGATTTTTATCTAGTTTGAGGGGATGTTTGAACCCTAACTTTGATTTGTCTATGGATTGAAGGATTTTTATTTATCGTTGATTAATCGAGACGCCGTATTTATTTTTGTTGATGAGTTGCTTCATGTTATCTGTGTATAATGTTTATGAATTATGGTGTTTGATTTAGTCTGGCCAACTACGTTAAATATTCATAGTTTAATTGCTAGATTCGGGACTTTAATCCGTAATTGTTATTGTCTCGTTCGTTAGTAGTAAACTAGGGGTCGAGCATCTCTAGAGTAGCGTGAACATAAGTTAAATGGTCCGAACTTTTGCGTCCATTACTTAGACTGATCTATTTTCCTAGAAATTAATGTTGTTAGTGCACTAAATCTAGAGAGCTTATTCTAGGTTGTCCACTAGTTAGGTTTAGTCGAAGAGCTTATTTCGATTAAATATTCGGTAAGGAAAAATTCGGTTAACAGAGCTTGTTGTTAGTTAGGGTCGGTAATTCATTAGCAATTTAAAGAAAGCGACGAAATTAATTAACGGTAGATTGAGATTGGGTGATAACTGAACCGAAAGTTGGACTTTTCTCATTTTATTTGATTTTTATTTTATTTATTTTTATTTTTAGTTTTATAAATCAATCCCCCCTTTATTTGCTTTCGTAGTGTAATTCAATTAATACGAGATTGTCACAATTTAATTCCTACTCCTCGTGGGATCGACCCTTACTCGCCGCTACTACTAGTTAGTAGAGGTTAGTCAAGGAAAAGTTTATAAATTTAAATTTGTCGTGTCGCAACGCGCGGCCAGTTTAAAAAAACAAAAACCGTATTCTTGGAATACGTTTTATAAATAAAATTAATATTTACAATTTTATAAAACAATTTTTTGTAGAAAATAATTTTTGAAAAAATAAAATGTATTCTAAAAATACGTTTTTTAACCCTAATTTTTGCCCCAATCTGGTTTTGCCCTAAGGTTAGCCCCAAATCGATTTTGCCCTAATTTTGCACAGTAAAACGTATTTCAAGAATACGTTTTCTTAAGAAAAAAAAACGTATTTTCAAAATACGTTTTATTGTGCAGAAACAGCACTATACAGAAAAAAATATTACAAAAACACACTTATTAATCGAGATCTATTCTACAACCAAATATTGATTCCACAAACTCATATCAATCAATTCGTCAAAGAAAGAAAAATGAAGCGCAATAATTCATTGTCCAAATATAAAAATCCAAACAAGTCCACATATCATTACACATAATCCACCACGAAAGAAAAAAATAAATATATATGTCCACAAAATTCCCGGAATACAACACAACTAACTAGGAGTGTATCGATTCGTAGGGTTGCGCGGTCGGGAGCTAATCCGACGCTGTGGTGGTCGTGAAGAAGACGATGCTGTGGGCGTGGTAGGTTCTTCTTCTTCTTCTTCTTCTTCTTCTTCTTCTTCTTCTTCTTCTTCTTCTTCAGCTGAGTAATTCATTTTTTTAAGAAATCAAAATTCGACTTAACAAAAATCACAAAACATAAATAAAATTATATTTTTGTTAAGTAAAAAATGTTTACCTCCTTCTTGTTCTTCCTCAGGCTCGATGTCGGCAACAGGTTCGCGGTGACGTCGTCTTTCTACCTCGACGAATATGAGCAGGAGGTTGATGCCTCGCCCGGTGTGACTGCGTCCTCTGGGGTTGGACGTAGCTCTCCTATGATAAAACTTGGCTCGACGACGTCCCTTGACCGATCTCTCCGCCTCCGACAGTCAGAGAAGTGAAGAGAAGGTTCTTGGTATGTTGGATTGCCGCCTGCATCTCCGGATGGGCTGTATGATATAGATGCTCAACATTGGATAACACGTTATAAGCCCCCTCCATGCCACTAGCCTGAAAATTAAATTTAAAGTAATTTGTATGAAACGCAAAAAATAAAATAATAATAGGAAAAAAAACACACAAATTATGAACACTACATCGCACTTCCAATGCTCGGCAAGTGGCTGATAGCCTTCGTCCTGTTGTACCACCGGGTACTTGGCAGGGTCACTGATTAGTCTCACAGTCCTACTGTGAAACCAATCAAGGTAACCCTCGTCAGGCTGTACGAATGACTCCACACGCTCATCTGGGAGGACATTTTGGTGTCTTTGTTCGACCCAAATATTCCCAAGCTGGGAATGAAAGTCGACCCAATCATATACTGCCCTCCCGGTCATTCCCTGGCCTCGGTGGTGTATCTCTCAGTCGACCTCACCCGTAATGATCGGAGTGTCGGGGATGGACTGATGACACCCGAACTGACGGAGGACTCTACCCGGCTCTTGGGTTTCACGGATGTTCCAACAGAACATCCAGCCCCTACACATCCAGGCTTGAATGTTCTGTTCACTGGGCCAGGAGAGCATTAGCATTCAGGAGCTGTTCGTACGGCATCCAATCGAACTGTAAAAAACAAAAAAAAAAAAATAATAAGAATTAAGTTATTAAAAGATAAAACACATAAAACAAAAAATAAATAACAATCAATAATACTTAATAATAATCTAACATCCGTCTCTCTTAGCCCTGTCAGTTGATCCCGGACAGCGGCTGTTCCAGTGCCTATGTGTCTCGTGTCCTTCCGTCCCACCCACCTTAAAAATCAAAGAAAGAAAAAAAACTTTGTAATTACAAAATTTGATAATTGAAATAATAAAACTATAAAATATATAAATAAATGTCATTACCTTCCACCTAAAGGACAACCAATTATTCTTTCAAAGCTCGTATCCTTCATTCTCGGGCGAAGCCGAGGGATACGTTCCCATGCCCAAACCTAAAGATATCGACATATTCATTTGTTATTAAATATTAGTCTAAATTAGAAAAAAAAATGAATTTTTAAATAACAACTAATTAAATGTACCTGAATCAATTGAACACAGCTCTTGATCCAGCCTTCCCCGGTCTGGTAGCTTGTGCACAACGCTCTATACACTGCGGCCAAGAGCGCCGACCCCCAGCTGTACTCCTTGATCTTATCGATGTCGCGCAAGAGCTGGGTCCAGTACAGGTTGACTCCACAGGCCCTCTGGTCGGGAAAGAAGAATGATCCAAGGCACCAGAGGATAAGGGCCCTCGCCCTCTCTTCGTAGGTCGTAATGTCTTGTCCATCTTGCAGCACTCTGTTGCATTCGTGGTCTAACCTCGAGTGCTTCAGATACTGGCCTACAATGCCCCAAGTTTTGGGGTTGGCTGTCGGGTCGTCTGCTTCCTGAGAGTGGTTATATACATTAAAAACCAAACAATGGATTATACATAAACAAACAAAAAATAAATAAAAAAAAAATTGTGTTAAAAAATTTACCTGGGGGTCAAACCCTAGAAGGTCCAAACACTCATCTCGCCATTGCTGGTTTGTAAAATCTGCAGTCTGTTCCCAGCAAGGATTTCCATCTACCGGGAGACCAAACAGGACTTGTAAGTCCTGGAGCGTGATTGTGGCCTCCCCGAAATCAAAATGGAAGGTGTGCGTCTCTGGTCGCCACCTTTCCACCAGACAGGTAATTAGGCTGTTGTCGGTCTGGACTCTGCCTATTCGAAACAACGGCCCAAAACCCGTCCTATCGATCACCTCTAAAACTGTGGGATGTTGTTTGTCCAACACCTTCCAAAATTCTGTGTCGTTACAGCGGTTTTTAATG